TCTCTCAACTAGCACAGGCTATATTCAGATAAGTCTGACTGCAATAAGGCTATAGTCTGACTAAATATATCAGTTGAGGTAAAATATCCTCGAAGTTCGGTACATCTTGTACTGAATTCAAAGTGAGGGAAGCTAGTGAATAAGACCTCTGTGTATGCAAACATGAATAAATAGATCATCGGTACTTATAAACTTGCTGATACATTGTGTGTCCTTCAAGCAAATCGTTTTATAATGCGGTTTTGTAACGATTCAGAAAATTATAGATGCCAGTGTCGATGCTGTATTTGGTTTCCATAACTGAACTTTCAAATGGTCTCCGTGTAACTCTGAAATAACTGCATCCTGCAATAGAAGGACTGCACATGTGTATATACGTATATATATACACACACATGTGTATATACGTATATATATACACACACATGTGTATATACGTATATATATACACACACATGTGTATATCGGAAGAATTCCAAAGGAACTCGTTATTTTGACAGCAAAATACAACAAAGCATATCGTTTACATGTAGCGCGTCAATTCTCTCTCTCCCTCTCTCGCTGCGTGTGTGTGAAACAAAGCGACGGCGAGGTGTGCGCCTTCACACTAGAGTTTACGGTACGTTAAATACAGGTGCGTTGCGCATCCATCCATTCAGATGAACTGAAAAACAGCACAGATCGCTTGGTGGCGAGTGAAACTCTGATGCGCTCAGTCAGAGAGTGTTCAGCGAGTAAAAATATATCTGTGCTAAACATACTTAGAATTAGATATAAAAATCTGAGAATTTATTAGCAATTGGCTAATATTAGACATCATTTAGTCGCCAGAGTGAAGATTTAGTCGCATATGCTAGTGATTTACTCGCAATGTAGAGGGTTGTACTTGCTCTTGTACTTTCTTACCACGATTCTGAGAGAGTGGGGAAATGTGTTAAGGTACAGAACAAGCACAACTCCTTTTCATGACTAACTTTAAATAAAAGAAGCTCTCGGTTGACTTTTAATTCTCTCTGGAGAAATATGATATTCAGCCATTTTCTTTCCCTTCAAGGTATTTAAAACTATCTGGATTGGGAGAAATAATTGGGTCCTCATTGTGGACTTGTTTAGGATTGATCATTCGCATCGCTGTGCTCCCTAAGAACCTGGAGAAGAGAAAAGAACACCCTTCTATTCTTCATCCTGATGATAAATTCTTAGTTACCATTCCCAGTTTAATTTACGAGAACTGTGAACCAATGAAATCTGTTTGTTCCTAAAGTGTGTATTTGAAATGCAATGTTTCAAATGAATACTAGACGCCTGATCTGTCTGCTGCTGTAATAAAACTCGGGGCTTCAGGCACCAGTTTTTATTTTGAAATAATACGAATTGCTTCATTCTTTACTTGAGTTACCATGGTAATTCGGTCTTGTAGCAATTTTATATTGATTTAGAGAGTGGACAGTAATATTTCTTTTCTGTTATTCCCCTTTCTGTGGGTTGATTTCTAATTTCCACTTGGAGATTACTTTTATACATTCCTTAAGTCTTTTCACTTTTTTTTCCATCCTGCAAGGTAATTTTCTCTCTTGTATTTGCTATTTTCTCAGCTTATTGGCTTGTTCTTACTCTAAATTAAACTTGCCAATTTCAAATATTGAAATTACATCAATGTTTCTCTCGCCCTGGGTCTCTAGCAATATTGCGCCTGGATTCGGGGCCTAATGCTTGTGTTCCTGCCACTTATATTGCTTCAGCCTGAAGAAATTCCTACTTGATAAACATTTCCTCCTGATGCAATTACAGTTCAATATATCTGCAACTGATGTATCCTCAACATAGGGATCCGTCATTGCTCTGTGGTCTTAAATTGGCATGCTCTTTTTTTTGTTTTTTTTTATTTATTTTTTTTTGGATGATGACTTTGAATGCATGATGGTCTGACACATTCTGATGAGGTTGAAATGTTAAACATTACAAGGTGATGCATCCCTTTCAACAGTACAAAATTGGAGAGATGGCCGTACAATTTTACCTTAATTTCATGTGGGGTTGTCGCTTAAATCCTGAGGACACAGGATGAGGATGATGAGGAGAATCAAACCGAGCAGTAGGGCTGCACGATAAATCAAAATGGAATCGAGATCGCGATTCGACAGAAGCTGCAATTGTCATGTGTATCTTTCAGTGAAGCACGGTTCTGTGATCAGCAGTAAATCTCCAGCCAAAGGCAAGAGGGCGC